TGTTTGTGGCCAACTCACCGTAGGTGTTTCTGGCTCTGCCCACTTTCTGGAAGACTGATGGACCAGCGCCCGACTGGGACTGCCTCCTGGCTCCCTACCCACAACCAGATTTCAAGGACTGCTTGTCACAGATGGAAAAGTAAGTGGGTCATTCTACATAAGCTTGCCATTTTGCATCCCTCCAAATTTAAATTTAATGTTATTTTTGTAAATATATCGGCTATTATAGAGGCCACTGGAGTCTATTGTTTTTCTTTGTTTTGTTTGGTATTTTGGTGTTTTTGTATTCGTCCGTTCAGCACTAGTTAAAAGTTGACATTTAGATATATATAGGCTATTTTATACAGTTATACAGTATTGTTTTCAGCTATATGTTTGCTGGTGCATACATTTCACAAATATTCTTTCAAAAAAATTTGTTTGTATGTAAGTAATAAATGTATCGTAGGAAAAACAATATTCATCAAACAGCAAGCTTGTGTAAAATGATTCAGCTTCGGTCCACTCCCCTGGTGCTGCTGTTTTCCCTCCACAGTTTCTCTCCATAAACCTGAGTGTTTAGCAGCCCCAGCCTGTAGTATGTAAATATGACCACGTTCATCCACAGCATGTCATGCATACTGCTCTTCGCTCTAAGAAACATTTAAATTTGTTTACATTTTTGAAAATTTGGATGAGATGAAATTAATATTTTAGTGCAAACTAACTGACTCGCCGTCAGGAGAATTGCGGCAGAAGCTTGCACACACCGCAGCGAGACTGGGGAAACGAACTGCACACAGCTGGCAGAAACAAATAAAAATAGATGATCAGAAACCCTCAACTTCATTTAATCGTGATCTATTTTGGTATCAATGTTATATGCTTTTTATAATGTTAATTGACTCCCCAGTAAACATTTCAATAATTCAAAAGTTACACTTCCGCTTTTGCAAGTGAGATTTCTAATACATTGAAAAGTTTTTTTTCACTCGTCTGTCTAGAGGGCTTGAAAAAGAAGGAAAAAGATAAAAGAAAAAGAATGGGTTTCATAGAGCCATAGTCATTAAAAGAATCTGAAAATAGCAACTCGCTATCATCTGTTCTCATAGCACGGGTCAGGAGCTCTGACACCTCCAAAATTCCTCCTGTCAGGGTAGGGGGCCATTTGTATTCTCTCTCATTAGGCAATTTGACTAATGACCTGCCGTGGCTGCAGAGCTACTGAGGGACCCGGAGCCTCGCGCCCTCTCTCTTGCAGCAGCCTGAACACACACCCTCTATTGGAATGGCACAGATGGCATGCCCGGGCGACAAAATAAACTACAATATGTCTCCGAGATGCTGTCAGGCCTGGGCACTATTTCTCATGTCAGAGTGGGGCTAAGGGCTGTGAGTGGGCATAGGGGGTCCTCCTCCAGCTCTCTGTTCATCTACTCACCATTATCTGCAGAGGTGACAGAGAGCGGGGTCTGCAACTAGAATAGCATTTCCATGGTCTGCATAAAGAATCCGCCTCAAATTGAGAGTCACACCGACAGGAAAGGTATTGCAATGTCTAGCCTGGCTACACAAAGTGGAAAGGCAACATCCAATTGTTTGGAATATGAAATACAGGTTCCAGATAAAGCTCTAAGTTTTTGAGCAGCTTTACTCATTATTTCTTATTATTTTATGGTATTCAACAATAGAAATCAGCTCCATCATGAGTAAAAAGTCATAATAGATTCTCATTTGCACTTGCAGATTATTGCCCTGACTGTGACTTACTTAATTCAGGTGCGAAACAGATTCACCCAAGTAATCACACTAGACAGAGATCAATGCAATTCTGCTGAATTAGTGAAGTGTAAAATAAAAGTTCATCAACATTCCTAAAGTGTTACTCTTGAGTTGTGGTTCAGGTAATATGGGGTATGCTCGATCACCCACGCATATTTTTCCATCAGTCAGTGTCGGAGCACAACTCGGTGTGGTTTATGTGTGTGTGTGAATGCACGCCTGTGTGCATGGCCATGTCTGTTAGAACCCTGGAAATGCAATGTATGGCGCTGCTGAAGTCCTGGGTGACAGTGCATCCAACAATGGAAGAGTGAGGGATTAGTGCTCAGCCCAGCGTACGAGGGAGCCCTTCCCGCCCTGAAACAGCCATTCATCTGTGCCCAGGGGCTGGAGATGACAATGCAGCCATTGCTCATCGCACCTGACGGAGCCATTAATAAGGCAATGATCCACACGGGCCCTGTGCTGACTCCGTTCTTTACACTACAATCACTCAAGCCACAGGGTCCTCCTTACTTAACGCCACCTCTACGCACACCACCATCATCATCATCATCATCATCATCATCATAGTCATTGTACCAAATTCCTGCCAGATGTTTTCATATTGACTGCACTCACACACTCCAAATGCCAAATAACTACCCAATTCCCCACACTGCAGTACACTCATGAGTTAATGGACTGTAGCCTGGCCATTTGAGCAGCTACAACATGCTTCATAGTGGGATTCCTGGTCAGAAGATTGGATTTACATTATTTTTGCCCTTTGCACCTTTGTGTTTCTCCATGGTATCCATTTCTTACCACCAAGTCATCTCCCGCGCCTCTCCATTTGTCTGGATGTAAGATAGCCTCTCTAGTATAGATGGTGGAAGAATACAAAGTGAGATCTGGTTTTAAATGTAATCCTTGAGCAATAAAGAAACTCTCTGGCCTTCAGCTCTGTGCATTCATCTGTCCGTGCCACGCAGATCCATCAGCAGCTACAATCTCGGCTTCCCGTTGCCTGCTATTGATTCAAATGTATTCTCCCTGCCTATCTCTGCCTGGTGTTGGTGCTCCCAGCGACACAGTAGTGCATGTTTATTCACTTGTTTTTATGAGCTTAAACAAGTCATTGTACCCACCCCGTTGCCTTTGTTTGCCTGCTGCTCCAGATAGCCGCACATCCAAAGATGCTATTGAACAACCCTTGGCTGAGTGGAAAAGGAGCCTAAACCTTTCACTCAGTGTACTTCTTTAGCCATGGCCTTAGGGTTGCAATCCCTCTTGGTCTTTAGGTCCGTCTGTTGGTCACTTGGTCAATCCACTACTTTGACCCAGACTAAAATATCTCAACATTTATTTTAAGGGTTGCCATAAAATTTTGTACATTAGACATGTATGGTTCTCAGACAATGAATCCTAATGACTTTGGTGATCCCCTGATCACTTTTCCTCAAGTGCCACCGTGAGGTTGACAGTTGTAGTTTTGAGTAGGCCTGAAACTAAGGCTAATTTCCATAAATTAAAGGAAACCAGAAAATATTCACATTTGAGAAGCTGAAATCAGCAAATCTGGATTTTTTTCTTAAAAATGACTCAAAACTGTTATTAAAGTAGTTAACAATTATTAAAATAGTTGACAGTTCATTTAATAGTTGACAACTAATCAATTACTTGTTGCAGCTCTAGTTTTTAGTGAAATATCTCAACAACTATTGGATGGATTCCCATTGAATTTTGTACAGACACTCACATCCCCTCAGGATAAATTGTAATACCTTGGGCAATCCCTTAGTTTTTCATCAGGTCAGAATGTCAATTTCTTCAATACTTGCAAAGCTGATGAAATTCCCATCAGGCTCAGCTGTAATTTTGTGCTAATTAGCAAATGCCAACAAACTAAACTAATATGGGGAACATAGTTAATATTTAACCTGCTTAGCATCAGCCTGTTAGCATTGTTACTGTGAGCACGTTAGCATGCTGACATTATAGTTTAGTTCAAAGTACAGCCTCACAGAGCCGCAAGCATGGCTGGAGACTACTACTACTACATTTTTACTGTGGGAGATGATTGGAAGCCAAGAAACTAAATACGCTTTCCTGTGGTCATGAGGGTGAGGGTCATGCTTTGATTACAAAGATCACATTGTACTACACTGGTGTGGAAAGTGCCAAACCGTGGATCTGTGTAATAACCAAGAAAGGAAAGCAAGTGTCAAAGTGAGGGATATTTTTGAATTTCATACTTTTTAAATATTGCCATGAACAGGAAGGACCAAAAGGAGTGTCAGCTCCAAAACGATGACTCATGAACAGCCTCGGCTTACATTTATGAGTTCCTTTTCCTGTGCCAGCGGCCTGATGGACTGTGGGTAAAAGAACACCAGTTGGAAGCTTGGCCTCTTGATATTTGGGGCTCCTGTCGAAGCCAACAGCAGCAAGTTTTGTGCCTCCAGATTTGGGAGTTTTTTAATGAAGCCGAGCAGCTGCAGTTTTCCCTTCAGTCTGGAAATGGGAGGCTTTGTGTCCCTTGTCACCCTGTGTTAATTTGGGCCCTAATGTATTTTATAAACAAAGGGCTGCTCTCTAGCCTGACAGTCGTGACACCTTGATTCCAGTGCAGGATGCATGCAGTACAGGGTTACACCATTAATAATCAACTGGCAGCCATCACACCATTTTAACCACGATCATTATGATAAAGGGCATACACTTAATTACAGGCCTGCTTAATTATAGCTCTGTTGAAGCTCGTTTGTTTGGTCAAATGCTAATTATACCACCACGCTCTTGGCAAGTCCTCATTTCAATCCACTTTTTGCCGGCTGAACAGTGTGGCTTATTTTCATGCAAATTTGATATCTGGTGAATGTTTTGTCTCTCTTCTTTCCGCTTTTCTGTGCCTAGTGTGAGTGTGTCTTTGTTTCGGAGGTGAACATCTCTCAGACAAGACGGAATCGGGAATAATCAAGAGTAATTAAACTGGAAGAGGGTTGGGAAAGGGCTGGGTTGGAGGAGAGAGTGGAGGTGCTCAAATACAGTGGAGAATAAAAAAGCCTTTCATCTTCCCTCTTTAGACGGAAGGAGGGGAGGTGTTGGGGTGGCTGGGGATGTTGCTTTGCTGTTTTATAAACCCACATTTAGTCTTGTGGAAATACACAGGATCAAGAATAGGTAGTAATATTTCTTTTTTTTGTGTGTGTATGAAAGTCAACCTTAAACTTTGTTTTCTCTTACTTTTTTTGCAGCTCTGGACGATGTGCCCTTTGTGGTCTCTCAGAAGTTTTTTGAAAACCCCAAAGAGGTAAAAAAGTCTTTAAGGAACTAATGACTAAATGAAAAATCATTACTTTATTATAAATAATATGAGAGGGGCCATGATAGGTACTGTACAGTTTCTTGTCCTGCAACCTGTTGTAGTGTGGGACTCATTTGGTCCTTTTTCACAGTATGCAGCCATTAGTCCCTTCTTCCATTCTTTTCCTTTCCTTTACTTCCTCTCCTCTCCTTCCCTTTCCCTTCCTTTCCTCCAGACTGAGTGATGAATGCGTGCAGTCAGGCAGAGCTGGCTCAATGCAGTCCATTTGGCTGGCTGGCGGCGGTTGTCACTATAGCCCCGTTTGTATTGACACCAAGAGGGAGAGGATTAAAGATTTTAAGCATGCTTACTTAGCCATGAGCCTAACCGCCATGTTTCTTGTGTGTTTTTTTTTCTTCTTCTTCTTCTTCTTCTTCCCCCCCCTCCCCCCCACCTTCTTCTCTCCCTGCTTTTGATTTCAGATGCAGCAAGTCAATTTAATGGGCATTACGATCAAATCCCTGGCAGAGATCGAGGAGGAAGTGAGTAGAGGCTGCAACGCTCGGCTGCCACTGACGCCGCTGGCCCAGAATGCAAAGCAAACGGTCTTGGGGTTGTAATTAAGTGTCTGAGACAGCGAGGCCCTGTTGGCTCCACTAAGCCCCAATTGAATAAAAGCATGGCCAAGCTAGGCAGTCATTCCCTCTTAAAAGCTTCGTCTCCTGTTCCAAAACACTTGACTTTTATTCCCCGATTCTTCTCTCAAACAGCTCAATCGAGCATCCCGCACAGTGCTGTAGATCTTTTCTGGTCACATTCTGCGTGTTTAACTTTTTTCCAATCATCTTCATCTTTCTGATCTTCAGTAGTGAAAAAGTTAGAGATCATGTAGAGCAAATAAAAGCACTACAAAGTCCTCCCCATTTCTGATGAAACACTGTAGCCTGCAGGCATTCGCAGGAAGAAAATCATCTGTGTGCAGCTACTTCTTTAGAGCCCATGTGTTTGTGAGAGCAAGAGAAAGAAAAGGAGCCAGTGTGCGTGTGCATGTGTGTGTGTGTGTGTGTGTGTGTGTAGGTGTGTGTGGTGTGTGTGTGTGTGTGCTTTAAAGAGAGTGACAACCCCCCTTCTCTCTCATTAGCACGGTATCTTGGTATCAGAACTGCCAGGAAGTGACAGACCACTGTAAAAGAACAGGTGCTGTTGGGTTTGAGATGTGTTACAGAGCAAACACTCCCTCATCAAACCGGGTGTCTGTTCTGCACTCTGCCTCTGTCTTCTGTCACATACTATCCAAATCACACAGAGTCGCCATCTTGTCATATGGTCATCTGAATGAAGCTCATTGTCAGCGAAGGTATTAATGGCGTGTATGTGTATGTGTGCGTTTTCCAGGGTGGAGACAGGCTGGCTGCTCATCCTATATGCTCTTGTCTTTTTTTCCTTTTTCCTCTCCTCTTCTCTCCTCTCCTCTCCTCTCCTCCTTCCTTTCTTCTCTGAGAGTGTGATTAGCAGGAGGACACATGGTGAGCTGAGCTGGGGAAGGGAAGGGAAGGGGCATGAGAAATCATTAATTACAGCCGCGCTGGAGCTGATGAAGTAAATGTGAGATAGTGTAACACACAGGATTTAGTGAAGTGGACGACAGCACAAGATTAATGGTGGGGCCAGGCTGATGAGGATGAAGTCACAGCTTAGCTTGATAATTAGTTTCCAAGTGGAAACATCCCTCACCATTGTGTTATTTTTTACTTCTCTCCTCTTATTATTATACCACGATGATATCTGGAGAACAAGGAGGGAAATACAGTGGGTGATGTTCTCGCAAACATGTTGGACAGCATGAGTGTTTCTTTTAGAAAGTGATGCGTGTCTGTAGTTTTTTCCTTTCTTTGTCTGGTTTTGCTTGTTTTTCTCTATCAGTGTTAGACTATAAATGTAATGCCTGCTATGTTTTCTGTACTTGGCAGCTCATTCTTGGTATGAAACAAAAAAATATTGAAATAAAAAAAAAAAGCTGTTTTCAGTATGAAACTGTACACAGGTTTTCTAAATATTGTTGAGCATTTTCTCCTCCTGTTGTCCAGAAGAGGTCACTGTCTGTTCTTTGACTGTGGGGCTTTTTTTCCCTCTTCTTCAGAAACTAGAGGCGCTTCCTGCACAGAATCTAATTGCCTCGTTTCTAAACCCATTAAAAAATATAGATTCATGAAAGAGATGTACTTTCTAGAATTATACATATGCACATGTAATTGAGGAAAACTGTTGTAATCACAGCCACAGTTGTAGATAAGACCATTTCCTAACAGGCATCACTTAAGCCGTGTCTCGGATGATGTTGGTTCCAGCAATTAGGCATTCTTTTCATTTCCCAAATGACTCACAAAACTTGCGGATATTATAATTGCTTTTAGCCACGCATATCTAATTTGTGTCTTTTTAAGTGTTAATTAGTAAGCGATTTAAAGTGACATCTTTATGTAGTTTGCTCTGCTGAAAAATGTTGTTGGCGGCTGGCTAATGATTTTCAGAGGGAGTATGCTAGGGTGGAAAGAAGTGTGTGTGCACACATGACAAGATTTTCATTAGCACCTATGTATGATGGGTTTTCAGTGTTTGTGGGAAGTTATCTGTGTGTGTTTCTGTGCCTGCGCATGCTTGTGCAGGGTTGTGTGTATTTCCTTGTGAACGTATGGAGGGACAGTAGTGTACAGGGGTATGTGAGAGGTGTGAGAGGGAGAGCTCCAAATAGAGGTGGAATTAATGAAGACAACATGTCACATATTTTTGGCAGTGGAGCAGGGACAGGAAATGAAGCTCGGCTCGTCTAGGTGACTGCCGCCCATGTTCTAGTGTGTCACTGTCCTGTCAGCCTGTGTGTAAAACTGGCAGACATTGATACATGCTCTCCCTGATAACACCCCATTCCCCCATCCATCATCCACACACACACACACGCAGACACACACACACGTACACACAGGATTATTTATTTACTGTGCCAGATGTTGAGACTGAATTTTTGTTTGGTGGGGGGCTGAATTTCTTCACAACTAACAGGCTTGTGATATGTGACAGGTTTTGGGTAACTTGCAGCTTCCCCTCAAGTAGATGAAAATCAGGGAAGGTGGTATTTTGATCGAGAGAACCCCGGTTGAGCCATTGTGGCTCTGGGCTTCTGTTGGAGATTTGGAAACTTATTTCAGTGATCATACAGCATCACCTAGTGCTCTGTTGCAGTAATACAACTGTCTAACTACTGAAGTGAGCACTACTTTGTGTTACAGAAGTTCACTGTTTGTTGTTAATACAACAAAATCATCATGTTATAAAATATTAATTTAAAAACTGTTGATCATCAACTAATCAAACATTATATTGTTTTTTATTGCTATAGTAACATGTATTTCTCTCTACTCTCTATCATTTCTTAATAATTAGGATTTATAGAATACATTTCGGAGAATGGATTCAGTTAAGTTAGAGGTCTGAGTACTTCTGGGAACTGCTAATGTTTTTGGGGATGCACCGATCCAAGTTTTTATCTTCCAATACCTCAGCTTAGGGTTTCTGCTGATACCGAATCTCAACCTGATTCCAGTGCTCTCTTTTTCCAAAATGTAACATCTGTATATCTTACTGCGTGGAACTCGGGAATCATTTTTATATAAAGTAACTGGAGGCCAGAAATCGCTGTTGATCCAAAAAAAGTGAATGTAGCTGAAGCACAGAATGTTGTAATAACATTAACAAAGAAATAATTATTAATTATGGGGATCCGTCACTTTATGGTCTATATCGGGGCTGAAAGCAATCTTACCTTTGACTTTCAATTTGACATCCATTTTCTTTTTTGTGTTTGGGTTTCTCCCAAAATAGACCAAAGTAGACTTATTGCACCATCATTTAAAATGTCTATGCATGGTACCAAAAGGTGATCTTTTCAATAGAAGGGAATTAAAATAATTATCTATAGAATCAGTGAAACGGAACAAAAATGACACTCTTTGCTGCCTTTTTATGCCACTCTTGCTTTTCTAAAGAGTCATGTCCACAATGTGCCAGAAGGGGGAAGTGTTTGTTTGTATTTTCTCAATCTTCATTCTGGCCGTCTGATCACTCTGCTGTAGGGCTAAATGTAGGCCAAATGAACAATGCATTTTTAATGTATAGTTCAATTTAATATCAGTCCAGAAAATTCAGAGACTTTTTTAAATTATTGTGTTGGTTTGTGATAATCTGAATTTCATCGCAGCATTTTGTAATTGTATATGTTTTATTGCTTTGGTGTTATTATTAAGATAATGCAGGTTGATGGTGATGTGTTTGTCCTGTTTTGACTGTATATTTTTATTCATTCATCAGGGTTCCCACACATCCTGGAAAACATGGAAATTTAGGGACTAGTTTTCTAGTTATGAAAACACCTGGAAATTGGTTAAAATGACCAAATATCCTGGAAAAAGTCTGTGTTGTCCTGAACATTTTAAATTGTATTTTAGCCTCTCAATCAGATTGCCTACCTAAACTTAGGTGTGTTTATGTACAAGACCACAGCAGCTGTGGTGAGAACAGCCAAGTCGAAGAAGTGTCCCAGAAAAGCGGACCACCTATCTTTAATGAACCTGAGACAAATCATTATGAACCCTGCATCGTTAAACAAGGCTGAATGTGTCAATACTAGGCCTACCAGGAAATTATATCATAGTTTCTGAGCAAGGTCTGTTCTGTATTGTAAAGAAAACTACTGGGAAATGTCCTGGAAAGGTCCTGGAAAATGATTTCTTAAAAAGAGTGTGAACCCTGATTCCTTCTTCTCTTTCTTCTCATGCAGTTTCACTACAACTTCAGCACGGAGCGAAGCATTGCTGTGTAACTTTCCACACAGCTTTACAACCTGAGGGCCAGAGCCACGGGGACAAACACTGCAGATGGACTAAAGGGATCATTTGTAAAATAATGAACTCATGAAATCAAGAAAAAGTTTGGGATACACCCCAGCTGTATAGTATGTAATTTAAGACAGAAAAAGTATTTTTGATCATGTACAACTGTGCACATTAAATTTTAGAAAATTTTCAACTTATTTATCATGAAAGTGACTGAAATTAAATTATGAGTAAATTTAGGTTGTGTCCTGTCGTACTCAGGTAGTCTCACAAGAAGTGTTGCCCAAGTCATGCTCAGAAAAAATGGAACTAATTAATATCCCTCGCTGTGACTCACATTTTGCTCATCAGAACAACAGGGCCATGATGACAGTGAGCAGCAGTCAGGGAGGACAAATGTGAACAGAGGAGCAGCCTCGTCACACGCAAACAGGCCCCTCTGACGTTCATTCTGCAGCGGATGCATCTTTCCATCACAAAGTTCTTCATGAGCAGCGTGCAGCAAGAACGAGCAGAGCTTTGAGACACAGGAGCCTTTTTATCCCAGACGCCCACCCACGTCAGCAGTGACTCCTCTACTGAGTCAGGTCTTTAAGAATAGAACACACCATTACATTTCAGCTTTGAAATATTCTTTATTATTATTCCCATCTAGCTGGGTTGAGAATTATTTTGAAAAGAAATGCAGGAAAAGTGTGAATTTCCTGGTGTTTTTTGCAATATTTTTAATATATTATTTAAATTTAAAATATCTAAAATAAATATTTATTAGAGAGAATATTTTTCTCTTTAACAAACTAAACACCCCGCTGCCATTTTGCTGCCAGAAACAGGATTTACACTTGGATGCCAAAACATCACAATCTTCTCACTCCTGCTCACATGTGTCATTTGCCACTAATTAAATTGTCAGAATCCATTTGCACATTTTTGCAGGTGTAATTAGTATTAGAAACTCATTAATGGATTAATGTCCCTATTGTTAATTAGACTCTCCTCCTGCTAAGTTTGTGAACTTCCGGATTCTGCTAACAGTGCAGATATTTTTTTCATTTTTTTTCCTGACCAAAGTTCCTAATGGCTCCTGGTATTCACAGGTGTTTAATGAAGCGTGCAGCAGATGACAACCCTCTACGAGCGTTTGCGTTAACTCCTCTGTTCTGCCGCTGAAATCAGAGCGACGGTCTGAAGAATCCTGTGCGGAGGGAACAGCTTTCACGCTCCTTCATGAAGGTGACACTCATGTCAGTGATGCCCTGGAGCACAGTGACAGGTTCCGACAGCCCTCCTCCCCGCTGTGCAGAAAGTGCATGTATACAGTACACCATATGTATCCACATTCACACACACACAAGCAAAAGGTGGAGCTGTGCTAACTCTTCATTTTACACCATTACTCTTTTGACTGATGTGAGAAAAACTTTGCAACAACTAATAATATCCCTTTTATACTGATCACTAAATCACTACATTTTATTATTAAATCCAATGGAAAGACCAAAAGCAACAATGGAGGGATCTTACTAACAAGTATTGTGTGTGTGTGTGTGTGTGCCAAAGTCGGATATATCTTTTTCCTCTGTGCCTTAGGACTCCATTGCTGTCCAAAAACGATTAAAAACTCAGTTTAAAAACAGTGAGCCGCACCGTTGCACTGGGTGACACGTTCCTTCATTACAAAACACAGGCGCTGTAGTTGATTTTGAGTCCCTTCCACATACTCTGTCCTGCTGCTGTAAATCCTCACTTGTTCACCAAATCAGCAGCTGAAAATAGTTCCAGTGAATGCACTATTTATTCTGGTTTGACTAGCGTTCACTAAAAACTACAGTTCCCAGCTGTTACAGGCAATTATTTGGCCTTTTTCTGCAGTGATACTATAGAATCTCAGTATTGTCCTCAGTGTGAGCTGCATTCAAGGTGTTGCTGTTATCAGAGATGGACAGCAGGTCTGACGTTAGCTCTGCAGGTCAGCTGGTGAGTGTTTAGATGAAGCGGTTTTGTGTTCATGGTAAGAGAGGCAGTGTAGCCAGACTCTCCAGATGGGCACAGAGCAGTCTTGCTTCCAGAACCACAACTCCCTCATGAGCCCTGCCCAGCATCGCCCATCAAAAAGCTCTCTCACATGGTTTCACTTTTCCTTTCACTCCACTTTATGATATGGAAAATAATGATGATTTTCAGAGGCCACATTTTAAAATTAAAATGGAAACAACCTCTTTTGCCTGTAAGCAATGCAGCAGTTTAAAGGCAACAGGACTAGTTAAGGGCTGTTGTGCGTCTCTAAGCATTTCACATATGGTGAATCTATTTTAAGGCATCTTTCAAACTCCCTCGCTATCTCTAACCTACCAGGCCCACTTCAGGCTCCTCGGTCCTGCTGCTTTGCTCTGAGGATTTGGCTCCGCCGGAGTTGAGCTGAACTGCAGAGCAGCACATCAAAGCCCCACCCTCTGTGAGTCCGCCAGATGTCCCGTGGTCATTTTTAAACTCACACCCCGGCACATGACATGGAGCAGTGTGTAAGCATGTAGACAGAGGTGGATGGGCCGCTTGGAAATTGGAAAAGGAAGCCTGTATTTATGAGGTGGTTTGAGGTGCTGTGTTAAGACAGGCTTAGCCTGCCACTCTCCCTCTGACAGCCCTGTTTCCCCCTGAGCTGGGGTGACCAGAGACACAGAGAGGTGAAGGAGTGAAGGCAGGAAGCCTGTCAAAGCAGGTCCAGACCAGACCTGGACCCACGGTGAACAGACTCACAGGCAGGTGATGCAGCAAATCACATTGACAGAAGATGTAAAGCCACATCTAATTTTCACTGGATTCATACATTTTCATAACAAGAACAAACAGGGAACATATCAGTTCTGCTCCCTAATGTGATTCCTTCAGCCTAGTGCATGCTGGGACAGGCTAAACCTTCCATGACCTTAAACAGGAAATGCTTTGTAAGTGAAATTAATGAATAAGCAAATGCTTTACAGAGACATGCAGGTTGTAGGCAGTGAGACACCTTGACTGGTTACCTCCAACAGTCGCTTGTCTCTCCATGTTGACGTCATCAAGTGTTGGAGTGCCCCTGTGAGATTTAAAGGGGGAGGGTTGGACGTGTGGTCCGCTCCGTACTGCCACCTTAACAAGCCCCCAGGCTGCACTCCGAGGGGAGCCGCACATCAAATCTATCTTTTCATACCTCAGCTAGAGGTAGGATGAGTGATCTCCCAGAGCAGGGATCCCCTCTCCTCCCCCACACAGCGGCTCTCCTCCCCTCTCTCTCTCTCTCCCCCTCTGCCACAGCGGCCCGGCCATGTGAGTCAAATTATTGTAATTGAGCAAGGATGGAGTCGGGTGTGAGGTGATCTCTCTCTTCATCCCCTCCCTCCCTCCCTCTTTCTCT